ACCTTCTTATACGAGAAATTCAGCCCAGTGGTCCTGGCAGCATGGGGATATGTACAGCTTGCTTTTTGTAGAGTCTAAGCTGTTCCATACCTATTAGGAAGAGATACAGTGGGCAAATTGCTTTAGCATGCGGCAAATTCGCAGCATAGCCTTATGAGTAGGAAAATCAGCTTTCTCATCAAATCAGGCAGTGTGTCAGTGTGACACACTCACTGTGGGGAGTGATTTCTCCTATGAGCAATTTGAGGGTCAAGGGACTTATGAATGGATTTTTGTTTTTCTTCCTTAGTTATTACATCTGGTGAGATTGTACGAATCCTGTGTATTTGTGTAGCACAGCACTAATCTTCAGTAAAGCATCATGTATTTAAAGGTCTAGTGTACAATTTGATAGAAGATAGAAATACTCTTAGATTTTTGTCCTAAAGTAGAATCTTGATTAGTGGTTAAAGAAAATTTACATTAAAATTTTAAATAGCTATCTATAATGACGGGTACTAGACTTAACCTGGGCGATTGCTTCATTAAGTTATGTAAATGTCTAATCACTGCATGTACACTGGAAACTAATGGAATATTGTATGTCAACTGTAATTGAAAAATTAAAGAAATTGTTACAAAAACTCCATGGCCTAAAAAAAATCTTAAATGCAGTGATATAAAATAAAAAATGATAAACACGATAGCAACTATGAGCCGATTTCTGTGGCCAGCTTTGCAATGACTCCTCTTTTAGGGTACTTGAGCGGCCTGGGCCATCATTGTCAATATCATCATCATTATCATGGAGTTGATTCCTCTCAGGGAATTGATTCCAACCTTCTGGCATCTCTGGGCCACACTGGGAGATGATTTATCTTGGGCCACGCATTAAATACATTGCGACATGTAATCACAAACCAAAAAATCTCATGTTTTAAGTAAATTTACAACTTTGTGTTGGGCTGCATTCACAGCCAGCCTGGGCTGCATGTGGCCTGTGGGCTGCAGCTTGGACACCCCTGCAAAATAAAAGGATGAACAGGGGATGTGTCTGTGTGGGTAAAGGAAGAATAAGCAGACATGAGATGCAGAATATATGTTCCATTCGGAGAAGAATGTGGTCGTGGAAACCTGGTGTAGTGGGAGTGAGCTGGTCAGATGGAAGGATGCGGACCCAGCAGAGGTGGTAGCGTGGATGGCACGGTGAGAGGTTAGACTCGTAGTTTGAATGACGGGAGTGTGACAGGCAGAATCCCCTCCACCGCCCGGGGTAGCCACCTGTGAGAAATTACTGTTCATGGCCAAGGGACTTTGCAGATGTAAATTAAGGATTTTGAGATGGGAAGAGTAGCCTGGATTATCCAGGTGGGCCCAATCTAATCACATGGGGCCTTAAAAGCGGAAAACCCTTCCCAGCTGAGCTGAGTCAGAGAGTGGCGTGAGCGCGGAAGAATGCTCGGAGGGGAACGAGCTGCTGGCTGCGAAGGCGGAGGAAGGGCCCGGGCCAGGGATTGCGGGTGGCCTCCGGCAGTTGCAAAAGGTAAGGAAACCATTCTCTCCCAGAGCCCCCAGGGGATACCCTGATTTTAGCCCCATGAGAACTCTGTTGGACCTCTGACCTACAAGATGATATATCTGTGCTGTTTATAAGTTGTTAAATTTGAAATTTGTTACAGCAGTAATAGAAGAGTAATTGGAGCATTTGTGTGGGAGCAGAGGTCGTGAATGGAGTGTGAAGATGAAGGCTGGGATCAGACTGAACGGTGCCTTGAAAGGTAGGGTAAAAATCCTGGTATTTACACCTAAAAACAACAGGGTCAAATGGGATGGTGGTTAAGAGTTTTAGGAAAAACTACCTGGCAGTGCCGTTTTGCAGACTATTTGGAATGAGAAGAGCATTGGGGTAGAGGAAGCAATTAAAACTCTTATCAAAAAAGCAAGTAAAATGGTGGCAGCGCTCAGGTGGTGGTGGATACGGGAAAGGGAAAGGACAGAAAGATTATTTTGAAAGAACTGGCTACAGGTTTGGTGATTCCATGCCAGGGAGAGTTGGAAGACATGTGGACTGAATGTTTGTGTCTCCCCAAAATTCACACTGAAACCCCAGTGTGATGGTATTTAGAGGCGGGGCTTTGGGAGGTAGTCAGGGCTTATGAGGTCATGGGGGTGGAGCCCTTATGAATGGGATTAGTGCCTTTGTAATAGTCTCAAAAGGGCTCACTGCTTTCTGTTTTCCACCAGGTGAGGAGACAAGAAGAGAGCCATTTTCAAACCAGAGGATACAAGAAGCGAACCCTCACCAGACATCTCGACCTTGGGCTTCCCAGTCTCCAAAACTGTGAGAAATAAATGTTTGTTGTTTCATCTATGGGAATTAGTTATAGTACCCTGAATTGACTAAAGTCAAGAATGCCTCAAAGTTTACAACTGACTAAAAATGGAGTGAGCAGCTGGTTTCAGGGAGAGAAATTAGCTGGTTTCCAACACGCTGACTTATGAGAAATGTGAGTGATTTGGGCAGGAATTGGGACGAGGGGCTGGCACTCAGGAGAGAGGACAGGTGGAGGGGCCGATCCAATGTCATCCTGTTATCCTGCTGGCAGTGGTAGCTGTGCCACGCATGTGAGAGTAGATCTGGTCTCTGGGGATTGGAGGGAGGACACGGTTGTACTTGCAGGTGGAGGTTGAGGGACGAGAGAGATTTGTTGACCAAATCCTTCCTATGTGCGAGGGACTGGGCTGCTGTGAAGGCTCCATCCCCATCAGGGGAGTGAGGGACCAGCTGTTCTCACTAGGGCTCTTTGCATGTGGCCATGATAGTGAGCAAAACAGGTAGGAAGACAAGGGCATGCTCACATGTGACTACTTACACCACTGTCGGGAGCTGCTGGGAGGGGAAAAAAAGATGCTTCCTGCCATTCAGTCTTCTCTAATAAGCTGGCTCAATTTAACCCTTTTATAAGTATTTTTTCCCTCATGACTTCCCTTTTGCCTTCCTCACAAATCCTTCCCCCAAATCCCTTCCAGACTTTTCTCTGAGGAGTCACACAGGCCATGTGCAGTTTTACTTATCTGTCCTCTGCATCAGAACGTTTTCACGGTATATTAGAAACACCCTAAGGTGGGAGGACCCACTGGCAGGTGGTCGGGAGGCTAAGTGCAGGGCAGTCACTGAGACCAGCTCCGCCGCGCTGGACTCCCACTGTTTCTGCCTCTTCGCTTTTGTGCTCCAAGGATGCATACCTGGGATAATTGCCCTATGTTTTGTCTTCTCCACGAAGTCTAGCTCATTTCTTGTTCTTGAATTATACTAACAACTCATTTTATTCTAAAGAAACTTGATGCCTCTCTTCCTCCTGGGACTGATTTCCTGATTGATACTGCCCTATTGCTTACAAAAATCCTATAAAGAAGATGTAGGTGGAAAAGAGTATCTTTCCTCCTGTTTGCACTATTTAGGTGGTAGTGATTGAAGCTTTGAACAAAATTGGAGAGAAAAATGGACTTACTGGGGTTTAAACTAGAGGGGAGCACTAGAACCTACCCTTACCAAGCTGGGCAGGTATTGAGAAGAAATACATGTGCTTTTTATTAACAGCTCTTCTATAGAAACTGAGGAAAGGCTATAAATGGATCAAACACTAAAACAGAATTATCAGTAACTTGGAAGGATTCGAAAACATTCAAACATGACTCTTCTCACCATTCACTGCAAAGCTCTTCAAAGCAGAAGGGCTGTTGTAACTACAAAGTATCTTATCTCATTCTGAGTAAGATTACCTCTTCAGTAGTGTACCTGCAGATCTTGGACTGACAGAGTCCCAAGTAGGTATGGGTGGGAAAGAGGTTTTCACCTCCTAGACATTCAGTCATAAATTTAGAGTTTTGCAGTAAGGAACAAGATCCTAATATTTAAGCCCGGATTTCCCAGGGTTGATAACGTAGATCCTAGCTATGGAATGCTGCAGGTTCACAAGCAGTAGATCCAATCAGAAACCAATCTGCACAAAAGCGGTGGTGTCGGCAGGAAGCCATATATTCTGATCAAGTTCCTGAAGGGAAGGCCTGTGGACACAGGTTACCTTATGACGTTGTGAGGAGATGGAACTGGCAGGGGAAGACTGATGCCTTCTGGAACTTAACTTCATAAAAGCCTTCTATGCAAGATAGTCTAAATGTGTCTATCTTCTGTATTCTCATCCTGAACCCTTACAATGACTAAGGAATGGAGTAAAATTCGTGCTGTTTTTAGTTGTAACTAAAAGTTCTCATAGAGCTTATGGATCTTTAGTCTGAAAATAGAATTAAAGACCAGCCATGTACACGAATTATTCCAAAATAGAATATAAAATCCTCATCAAAATAGGAAGCACTTTTACTGTAAGTAATCACCTGTCCGATCCTTGCACTTCCTTGTGTTTCAGAATCAGCCATGTTTGTGCCTGGAATGAACAGCCCACGAATAAAGTCAGTCAAAAGGACAAAGGGAGGGAGGGGTGTAGCTATAAATTAATAGGTTTTCGGATAAAAAAACCATACAAAGCAAATAATAATCAAAATAGTTTATATTACAACTTAAGATTCTTTCACATAAAAAAATAGCAAACTGTAATTAATGCTTTTTCTACCCTCTGAGGAGAAAAGGACATCAAAAATGCTGGGCATTAAGACATTAATTGAATTTCCTATATTTAATTTCTACATTTCACATTTGTTATCCATAATTTCACCAAGATCTATTTCACCTGCCCTTTATACAGTATTTCACATTGTATTTATTATTTTAGAATTTCAATTATTAGCCAGTGGTTATTGAGCATTTGGCATACGGCTAGTCCAAAATGAGACATGTTTATAAATGTAAAATATACCAGAATTTGGAGACTCAGTATGAAAAAAGTAATGTAAAAACTCAACTTGTGAAATAACATTTTGATTATATTAGATTATATAAATTTCCAAAATTAATTTTCATTAAAATACTTTTTAAATGTGGCTACACTAAAATTAAAAATTACATGTGGCTTATGTTAATTATACTTCTACTGGACAGTACTGGGCCAGGGCACTGGAAAACAAAGCGGCCCCAGCTTTAACTTACCAGTATCTTGTATACGTACTATCTGCTTTTGAAAATGGGACTTCCAAAGTAAAATAATGATCTGGCTGCTTTGGTGCATGCTTTAGAGTTTAATTTTTTTCTAATGAGATATATTACTTTTTAAATAGAGAAAGTAAAAATGTTATATTCTGTCTATCATCTTAGAGTTACAAATAAAGAATTGGCATTTAAGACATGTGGCATAAAGCAATTAATCAAATCCCCCTATTACTTGTGAAATACATTTTTCACTTCTATCAGTGAAAGAAAATGAGGTAGGAGTGGAAATCTGAGAGAACACAAGGTAGCTCACTGCCTGCTTGTCTGAAGTTACAATGCTTGTCCGAGTTACTGCGGAAGCTCTTTGGCTCAGGTGACTGTCAGTGCGGCTGTGCTCACATTCCTCTGTGTTTCCGTAAGAGGGGCTGTTTTGCTGGCACCAAAAATGGGTCAACAGTGGCAGAATATGTGCAATTTTCCCTTCTTTTCATATCTGGCATATAAGTGAGAACTTTTACTATAAAATTTGCTAACTCTAATCACCTGACATAAAGAGACTTGTCCATAAATTATTTAAAATGTTAATGCTTTTCAGTAAAATACCCCGTAATGCTTTTTCTTCTTTTTTTCTTATTGGTTCAGGGCAATTTATTTTGAAACGTTGCTTTTGTGTTTGTTTTCTGGCAACATACTGGAGCTCACTTTCAAAAGCCCCTCTGGCAGTGCACAATCCCAGCCACCAGGCGTCTCCAGGCCTTTCCAGGAGGTCAGGTGAAATCTGCGTTTCTAGTAATACTCTGGTGCATTCACTTCATTTGCAAACGCAACTGGCACAACCACCCCCTGTCGGTGCAGCTCTCGGAGAACATCTAATATTGAGTCTAATTCTGTGCGGAACTCGTCTAGCTCACGGTTCTTCAACTGTGCGAGCCTTTTCCATTTCTCAAGTTCTTTGCTTTGCTCAGTTTCTACTACTTGGTGCGTCTGCTGTATTATCTGTAAATAAAAAAAAAATTCCATATTACTGTTAGAGTTCAGAGCAGGGGTGAAGAACAGTTAACAACCTCGAAGAGCTGAAGTGGGACAATGCTGACGACGGTGGCGTTGGGACCTGGAAGGAGAAGGCAGGGGAACGCTGCCCGATGGGTTTCATTGTGTCAATAAACAGGTGTGCAGGTGAGGTCAATAACAGGGAAATTCTGAGAGGGAATTTTACTGTCCTTTTAAGCTGTGAATGATAAGAGAACCATTTACAGCGCCAGAAACTTTGGTATGAATCCAATCATCCCCAAAATGCTGTTCCTCTTCAGAACAGCATTTGAGATGCAATCAAGACAGTTTTAATATACAATGCATGTCACTGCATCCATTAACAGAACTAAAAATAATGACAAAACTGCACACACGTAGCATCTATCATGTGCAAGACTTGGTTTTAAGCATTTTATCCATATTAACTCATTTAATTCTGCCAACACAGCTAGGTGGTAGAGTTCATATATTTATTTCCATTTAACAGGCGGGGAAATGGAAACACAGGTAGGTCAAAAAAATAAATAAATAATTTAGTCAAGGTTCACACATAGCCCATTGGAAGCAGAATCAGGTTTCACACCAAGAGAGCCTGGCCTCAGAGTCCCTGCTATTAAGTGTCACACTAGCCTGCCTCGTGTACGTGGGTCAGTGTTTTCAACTGTGAGGAGAGGGTACCCTGTCAAGGACTATAAGGGAATCATTAGCTGCAGGCATTACAAACAACAGAAAGCTAGACATACAAAAAATTAGTTAGGGAAACAAAACCAATAATGTTTCTAAATGTCAGACATGCTGAGCATCTCCAATATAAATATTATCTATTATCCTGCCTTACTATAGAATAACTTCATACTTCTAAAATAAAAGCACTTCAGAAATATTGTGTAAACAGGTGTTTGAGTGTAGGGAAACACAAAATGCTGTATAAATTTTCAATTCTAAGCTAACATCATCACCTCACATAGTTTCAAAATTATTTCCTTGTGATGAAAATTTAAGATTTACTTCCCTAGCAATTTTCAAATATACAATAAAGTATTGTTAACTGTAGTCATCATGCCGTACCCTACATCCTCAGAAACTTATACTAGATGTCTGTACCTTTTGACCATCTTTACCCAGTTTCTGCACCCCCACCCCATCCTCTGCCTCTGGAACCACCAATATGATCTATGAGTTTGGTTTTTTTCAGATTCCACATGTAAGTGAGATCATATGGTACTTGTCTTTGTCTGACTTGTTTCACTTAGCATAATGCCCTAATGTTCCAACCATGTCGTTGCAAACAGCAGAATTTCATTTTTTATGCCTGAGTATTATTGTGTTGTATGTGTAATATGCCACATTTTCTTTACCCATTCATCCATCAATGGCCACTTAGGTTGTTTCCAGGTACTGGCTGTCATAAATAATGCTGCCATGAGCATGACGGTGCAGGTATCTGTTTGTTATAGCGATCTTGTTTCCTTCAGATATACAAAGTAGAACTGCTGGATCACGGAGCAGTTCTATTTTTAACATTCTGAGGAACCACCATACTGTTTTCAATAGTGGTTGTACCAATGTACATTCCCACCAACATCAGGGTTCCTTTTTTCTCCACATCCCCACCAACACTTGTTTTGTCTTTTCCACGAAAGCCATTTTAATGGGTATGAGGTGATAACTTATTATGAGTTTGACTTGCATTTCCCTAATAATTAGTGATTTTGAACACTTTTTCATGTAGCTGTTGGCCATTTAAATATCTTCTTTGGAAAAATGTCTATTCAGGCCCTTTGCCCATTTTTAATTGATTACTATATATTTTTGTTATTGAATTATATGGGTCCTTTGTATATTTGGATATTAACCCAGTATCAGATGTGTGGTTTCCAAATACTTTCTCCCACTTCATAGGCTGCCTTTCCATTTTGTTGATTATTTCTTTGGCTGTGCAGTTTGGTGTAGTCTAACTTGTTTACTAATTTTGTTGCCTGTGCTGTTAAGTGTCATATCCAAGAAACTCATTATCAAGATACATGTTAAGGAGCTTTTTCCTATGTTTTTTTCTGGGAGTTTTATGGTTTCAGGCTGTACATTTAAGTCTTTAATCCATTATGATTGACGGAAGACAGGGGGTTTAGTTTCATTCTTGTGCATGTGAATATTTTTACCCAGAATCATTTATTGAAAGGACTGTCATTTCTCCATTGAGTATTCTTTATTCTCTTATGAAATATTAGCTGACTGTATATGCATGGATTTATTTCTGTTCCACTGGTCTATGTGTCTGTTTTTAATGCTAGTACCATATTATTTTGATTACTAGAGCTGTGTAATACAGTTTAAAATTGTAAGTGTAAAGCCTCCAGCTCTGTTTTTTGTTGGGACTACTTGGGCTATTTTCGGTCCTTTGTGGTTCCATATGAATTTTAACAATTTTTTTTCCTATTGTAGTCATGTGCCACTTAATGAGCAGGGATATGGTCTGAGATAGGCATTGCTAAGCAAATTTGTTATTGTGCAAATATCATAGATTGCCCGTTTAAACAAACCTAGATGGTACAGCCACACTTAGACTGTGTACATAATCTTATGGAACCACCATAGTACATGTGGTCTGTCGTTCACGGAAGTGTCATTATGTGGAGCATGACTATACTGTAAAAAATGCCAATGGAATCTTGATACTGATTACACTGATTCTATAGATTGCTTTAGATATTTTAGCAATACAAGTAGGCCTGCTTTTAGACAGTTTGCATTATGCCACTTCACTTTTATGATAGGCCTATAGTACTACCTGTTTTTGCTAACCAAAAGAAATGCCAATATTTTTGCCTTTTTCCCAAAAACAAATAGCATTCAGTGTTTGTTTTGCAGCAAGCTGTTAATAGAGGCGGCCCACATCCCAAGCAGCAAGAGTGGCACTGCTTTTATTATATGTTGTAATTATTTTAGGTTTTATGTGACATTTGGTAGGCCTGGGTAGGCTATTTTGGGGGTCTAAGAATGCTAAAACTTCTTTACATTATAGATTAACAGTAACTGCTTTTTTTATGCCATTTCTGCTTATGAAAGGTTTCATGGCACAAACTACCTTTGGAGAGTGGGGGAAACCTGCATTAATTCTTCCAATCTAGAGAACGGGACATCTTTCCATTTGTGTTCTCACTTTCTTTCATTAATGTCTTACAGTTTTCAGTGTATAGATATTTTACCCCTTTGGATAGATTACCAAGTATTTTATTGCTTTTGATGCTACTGTACACAGGGCTGTTTTCTTTTTCAGATAATTTGTTGCTAGTATGTAGAAGTACTACTGATTTTTGTATACAGATATTTGTACTCTGCACTTCACTGAATTTGTTGACTAACCCAGAGTTTGGAGGTGGAGTCTTTAGGGTTTTCTCTATACAAGATCGTGTCATTTGCAAATAGAGACCATTTTAATCCTTCTTTTCCCATTCTTATGCTTTTTCTGTCTTTTTCTCGCCTGACTGCTCTGCCTAGGAATTCTAGTACTTTGTTGCCTAGCAGTGGTGAGAAAGAGCACAGTTGTCTTGTTCCAGACCTTAGAGGAAAAATTTTCAACCTTTCACCACTGAGTATCATGTTCGCTGTGGGCTTGTCATATATGGCTTTTATTATGCTGAGGTAGTTTCTTTCTGTACCTAATTTGTTAAGTGTTTTTGTCATGAATGGAAGTTGAATTTTGTCAAATGCTCTTTTTGCATCTGTTGAGATTATGATTTTTATCTTGCATTCTATTAATGTGATGTACCAAATTTACTGATTTATATGTGTTGAACCATTCTTACATCCCAGGGATGAATCCCACTTGATCCTGCTGTATGACAATTTTAATGGGCTGTTTAATTTGGCTTGCTATCGTTTTTTGAGAATTTTTGCATTTACATTCATTGCATATAATTTTCTTGTCTTGCAGTATCCTTATCTGGCTTTGTTATCAGGATAATGCTGGACTTGTAAAATTAGAGTCTGAGAGTGTTCCCTCACCTACCAGGAGTTTCTGAAAAATTTGAGGAGTGGCTTTAATTTGTGTTTAATAGTATGGCGGAATTCACCAGTGAAGCCATATGGCCCTGGGCTTTTCTTTGTCAAGAGATTTTTGATTACTGACTCAATCTTCTTGCTAGTAACTGGTGTGTTCAGATTTTCTATTTGTTAATGATTCAGTCTTGGCAGTTTGTATATTTTTAGGAATTTATCCATTTCTTCTAGGTTGTCCAATTTGTTGAGGTATAAAGTCATGCCTCTTTTTATTATGCTTCATAAATGTTAGCAGTTTTTATAAACTGAAGGCAACCCAACTTACCAACAAAAAGATTACAGCTAGCTTTACTGCTATATTCACTTTCTTGTGGTGGTCTGCGACCAAACTCACAGTATCTGAGGTATGCATGTAACTGTTCATAGTAGTCTCCTACCATGCTTTGTATTTTTGTGGTATCAGTTGTGTTCTCTCTTCTTTCCTGAGTTTCCAATTTTGAGGGTTCTTATTTTTGTTTATAGTTTTGTCAATTTTGTTTATGATTTCAAAGAATCAATGCTTAGTTTTGTTAAGCTTTCCTATTGTTTTCCTATTCTGTACTTCATTTATTTCTGCTCTGATCTTTACTTCCTTCCCTCTGCTAAATTTGGGCTTAGTTTTTTCTAGTTCATTGAGATGTAAAGTTAAGTGGTTTGAGATCTTTTTTTCTTGATATATGCATTATCCCTATAACCTTTCCTCTTAGAATAGCTTTTGTTGCATCCTGTAAGTTGTGTTTTCATTTTCTGTTGTCTCAAGATACCTTTTCATTAGCCTTTTAATGTCATCTTTGACCCGCTGGTTACTTAAAAGTGCTAATTTCATGTATTTGTCACTTTTTTTAGTTTTCTTCCTATTGACTTCTAGTTTCATATCACTGTGGTCTCAAAAAGACATTGGCTATGACTTCCATCTTCTTGAATTT